GGCTGTGTTGGGGTCATGAGCATACTTGCTAAAGCCAGCCAGCTTGGGTTTGAATCCCTGCTCTGCTGCTGCTGGCTGTAATGGCCTCTCACTGCCTCAGTTCCCTCATTTGTCATATGGATGGCTGGGAGGGTTAAGCTAACACAAAGCATTTAGTGCTGTACGTGGTGTAATAGCAAGCCTTTAGCCACTGCTCGTTATTATTGTAGTACTAGTACTGGCTGTATTTGAAAACTTTCTGAAATACTTTCAATCTTTGGGGATTTCAGGATGTCAGCTGTTACCTTATCAAGAATTAAGACAGGAACCAAACAGATTTAGACCAAAGTATCAGCTTTATTCATTGACAAAAGCTGGCTGGGAGGGGCTGATTTAGGTGGGCTGCCTCATTCATCATTCTAGAGTTAAACATGTGCACCCAAAGGCAGACCTGGACAACTGCTGCCTCTTTTGCGGGGCAGGGCCCACAGAGGTGAACTCTCCACAGGCTGAGAAGACGAGGCTGTATCCTCAGGGTCTCTCTGGCAGGCAGATCCTAGAAGGGGAACGTATACTGCCTCCCTTACTCCAGTCTACCCAAAGCAAGTGGACACCAGAAGCCCTCACCTCACTGCTTGGGAGTGCCCCGAAGGACAGAGGAAGGGAGATTTATTCCCAACACAATCTTTCACACAGATTTAAATTTTGTTGCTCTTTCTTGATTTAGTGGAAGCCATTTAGAGCATGACAAGGGCCAGTAGCATTGACTTTGGGGTAATAAGCTTGCTATGTTATAAGGATCACTATCAACTTTTTCTGCACCTTGTCATAGGTTCTTGACACGTGTAGAAGTAGATGGTGTGTGAAAATAGTTATGGCACAAGTTGGGGCAGCTGAGACTTGTCAACTGAAAAAGGTTACTTATCCACCCAGGTACAGCTATCTTAATGAGTTAACCAACAACCTGCCGAGAAGAGGAGACTAAGATTCCAAGGGGGAGTGGGAGTGTGGTTCGCCTGAGGTCATGTGGCCAGTAAGTAGGTGCTGGAGCTGGGATTGCACTCTGGAGTGTGTTCTTTTTTTTTTTTATTTTATTTTATTTTTTATTTTTTTATTTTTTAATTTTTTTTTAAATTTTTTATTGGATTATAGGTTTTGGGGTACATGAGCAGAGCATGCAAGACAGTTGCGTAGGTACACACATGGCAGTGTGCTTTGCTTTTCTTCTCCCCTTCACCCACATTTGGCATTTCTCCCCAGGCTATCCCTCCCCACCTCCCCCTCCCACTGGCCCTCCCCTTTTCCCCCCAATAGACCCCAGTGTTTAGTACTCCCCTTTCTGTGTCCATGTGTTCTCATTCTTTTAACCACTAGGCCGATTTACCTCCCTCAGCCTCAGTTTGGGAGCTGTTTTCTTCAGTCTTCTACTGAGGCCTAGATACCCCGAATCCTTAGAGTTTGGAACTGGTAGGGTCTTGGCAGTCATCTCATAGACTCCCCTCATTCTATATGTGTCGAAACTGAGGCCCAGAATGCAGGCATTAGGAAACCTGAATCACCAGTGAGAACTGGGTTCCAGGCCTCCTGGCTTACAACTTCTGTTTTCTCTGGCTTCCATCAGAATCAGATTTAAGAAGAAAATGAAGCTCTGTGCATGTGTCTGAAATGGCTTATTTCAGGAGAGGGACATGGTAAATAGGTATCAACTTAAGAGACTTTTGGGTAAGCCTCCATTGACCTCCCTTGCTGTACCAAGAACACTGAGGATTTCATGGCAGTAGGTAAAGAATTACGTGAGTTTAAAGCAGATATCTTCTCACCCCTTTGCACCCTTTTTCAAGTTAGTTTCTCCTTCCAGTGGCAAAGGCCTATTGACAAGGAGTTATGACTGCCATGTATGAGATTTGTGTTAAGCTGTTCTCACGTTGCTATCAAGAAATACCTGAGACTGGGTAATTTGTAAAGAAAAGAGGCTTACCGGGCTCACGGTTCTGCAGGTTTAACAGGAGGCATGGTGCTGGCATCTGCTTGGCTTTTGGGGAGGTCTCAGGAAGCTAACAATCATGGTGGAAAGCAAAGGAGATGCTGACGTCTCACATGGCCAGAGCAGGAGCAAGGCGGCGGGAGGTGCCACACACTATTAAATAACCAGATCTCAAAAGAGTTCAATCACTAGCTCGAATGCAGCACCCAACTGTGACAGATTCACCCACGTGACCCAGACACCTCCCACCAAGCCCCACCTTCAACATTGGGGATTAGAATCCAGCATGAGTTTTAGAGGGAGCAGCGTCCAAACTATATCAAGGTTCAGTTGCACAATTTGGTTCTGCAGTGGACAATATTTTCATAAACATTTTATTGTGAATATTATTTTTTAGTTTTCAGTTTTTACTATCTATTTATAGACAAAGCATCAAAACATTAATTATAGTTATAGAATGGAGGTTGGGAGGTAGAGAGGTGGAGGAAAGGGTAGTGCTATTGATTTATTTTAAAAGCCTGAAGGGAGTTAAGAGCTATTTAACATTTGAGGGGTCAAAATAAGTTTGGGGCTGTAGTTTAAATGGGTTAATGATAGAGGTGGCGTGCTCAGGTAGTATAGCAGAGTTGTTATGGGCACAAATCCAGAGCCAGACTTCTGGGGTTTAACTACTTGCTCTGCCACCTTGAACTCAGCCAGATTACTTAAACTGTGCCTTGGTTTTCTCATCAAAACACGGGGCCAATAATAGGTTGTTGTTTTTGTTGTTGTTATTTTTTTTTTTAATGAGACCGAGTCTGGCTCTGTCACCCAGGCTGGAATGCAGTGGTTTGATCTCGGCTCAGTGCAACCTCCTCCTCCCGGGTTCAAGCGATTCTCCTGCCTCAGCTTGCCAAGTAGCTGGGATTACAGGTGCCTGCCACCACACCCGGCTAATTTAGTTGGTGAATTTTTTGTATTTTTAGTAGAGATGGGGTTTCACCATGTTGGTCAGGCTGGTCTTGAACTCCTGACCTTAAGTGATCCACCTGCCTCAGCCTCTCAAAGTGCTGGGATTACAGGCATAAACCACTGCCCCTGGTCATAATACTTTTTAATCTTACAAGGTTGTTCTGAGAACAAAAGGTGTTAGTACAGTGCTTAGAGTACCTGAAACATAAAAATCATGAGTGTTTTTTAATGATGCAGCAGCTGCTGAAGGAAAACGGAAGAACTCAAAATCAGCAGTTCAATCAGCAGAGATTGGGAAGAGGGAGGTAGTAGTTTAAGAATTTATTTGGGGGAGTACTAAACACTGGGGTCTATTGGGGGGAAAAGGGGAGGGCCAGTGGGAGGGGGAGGTGGGGAGGGATAGCCTGGGGAGAAATACCAAATGTGGGTGAAAGGGAGAAGGAAAGAAAAGCACACTGCCATGTGTGTTCCTACGCAACTGTCTTGCATGCTCTGCTCATGTACCCCAAAACCTAAAATTCAATAAAAAATAAAAAAATAAATAAAAAAAAGGAGAATTTATTTTCCCATCTTTTAAAATGGGAGGTCAGTAGACACTGTTTAAAGTTGACAAATCAGGAAGTGGAAGTATATCACAATGGAAGCGATTCTCAGAATTAAAAATAGATCTACTTAAATATAGTTATCACTGGGGAATGAAGCTCTGGGAGACTTACTGTTTTGAGTTTTTTATTACCGTAAACGTATTACTACTTTATTTTTTATCAAATTTCTTGAGGTATAGTTAACAAATAGTAAACCTCATATATTTAAAGTATGCAGTTTGATAAGCTTTGACCTAAATACACATGTAAAGCCATCACTACAATTAGGGTAAAGATATCCATCATCCCAAAGAAAGACACATTTAAGTTTCTTAGTCTGAATAATCTGTGTTTAGTAACTTATGTGTAGACGTTGTCTTTTAGTTATGGCATCACTTCATTCAGATACCTTTTAAAGACTTCAAAGATTACTTTAACAATAATACAGTGATTTTCTTTTGAATCTGTATCATGTGATCTTATGCATCCTGAGTGAAACCATAAAGCAAGTAAGAACCTCCAGTGATTCTTTCCTGATGATTTGTTTTCATAGAACCTTCAGTGGTTAGAAGATAGGATTGCAGACTTTGAAATGGGGAACAGAGATGGTTAAAATCTTCCCAGGCTATTACAACTATTTGCTTTTAAAAAATTCCATTCATTCTGCTGGCCATTCCCTCTGACCAGGGCTTCTGAATGTGTATGCTGCATGTTCAATTAGGATTCACAGGCCTCAGGCACAACAAGAATATTGTTGCTGAAATCAGAGTCCCTACTGAGTAAAGCTGGGCTTTCCCTCCCCTCTAGGAACAGCCACTTACCTCTTCCTGCCTGGAGCTTCCCTTTGGCAGTGCAGCTGGTGCTGGGGTGGGGAGCGGGCACCCTCCTCTCAGTGGCAGCCGCATGTGGGAGTTTAATTCAGGAGTCCTAAGTATGAATTGGAAATGTAATTTCAATAGAAACTAGGTTAAGTTTGCAGTTAACTCAGCTTTATGATACCATCAATCCTATAACTGGGCTGTGCTTGTTCTGGGTCCATGGTGGGGGTTTCTGTGGTTTTCGGTTTTGTTTTCCTGGGCTGGTTTGGGCATTTGACTGCCTTTTATATCATTGGTTTTTTGGGGGAAATGCGTTCAGTATTCCAAACGGAAATTAATGAACTTTTTTAACATAGCCTGTTTACAATAGCTGGTAATAGCACTTGACGAAAGGGTTTGTGTTGACGGAAGGATTTGTGTTTAAAGTAAAAATGTAATTAGTCTTAGCCTAAGGGTGACATGTTTCTCCAAATCATAGACTTCCCTGAAAATTATAGACAAATGTGTTAGGATTGATTTGATATCCAATGAAACTTAGAGGGCAAATGTGTTAGGATTGATCGTGTTGGTTTGACTTAGAGGATTATGATGTTTCTTAGGGAATGGGCTGTTGAACCTAATGGCATCTTTCACAGGTCAATAGTAAATGTCCATGATGATGATGTTCTGTATTTTAACTAACAGGTTTTCAGGAGGCCTGATATAAGGGTAAGGATATTTGGCTTTCGGTAGATGGGCCTCCTACTTGTGTGTGTCTGTGCTTTATCGAACACTTAGTCTATTTAGTGTTCTTTACCTTCTCACTGGTTTTTATGAATCACTCAGATCAATTTGCTCTGCTATGTTATAGCTTTAAGTGTTTACTAGAAACGCTTTATTTGTTACAGTGTTTTTATGTGCAATAAAAGCCAATGTGTGTGAGGGCAAGAAGCTCAAATTGTTACCAGTGTGCAATACTGAGTTTTGTTGTACTACATGAATTATGACCAAATGGACATTCATGGCTGGGGTTATAAGGCTAGGGCTACTGAGGTCTCTTTTAATCTTGTTTATTGTGTAATTCATGCTACAGAATTTAGCAACTAAAAAAAATGGTTAGTTGGCTGTCCTATCTAAGTACGATTTTAAGTCATGTTTGTGTTTGCATGTTGAATCCAGAAAGTAGAGGTGCTAATCTTGAAGCTAAATTTAGCAAAATCTATCCCAGTTACTATTTTTTAAAAATACAGATATAGTGAGTTACAGCTTATATATTCCTCATGATTTTCCTTCCCTTTATTTCAGAATATTCATAAAGCAAGACAAAGATTGGTAATGTGCATGCATTTAACAGACATTGAAAATTAACCTATTTCCATTTAATGAAAACAATGTGGATTTTGATAGTATAATTTAATAACGTCAGTTTAAAAGTTTTAATCTTATTGAAGCCGACAAAGTAGTACAAAAATAAGCAAGTTAAGTCTTGTTATTCTAGCTGGTTTTCCTTGTTTTGTCTTGTTTTCACCATGTTTTCTTTTGCTTGTGGGAACCATTTTCTTTCATTGATTCACATTGTTAAATATTAGTGCTTGGCTTTACACTTCCATGAATTTTGAAATGTTGTTTTTTTTGTTCATTGAGTTTTCTGTTTCTAAAAACTTAATGATTCTATTTTCTTTATATTTTAAAAATGGAAATTTCAAAAAACTGGCTGCACTGAAAAATGATACTGTCTTGAAGTGTACTTAGCTTTACTAACTGTACTAAGTTCAACCTGATGATAGAGTATAAAACTACAGTAAGGAGTTATTGTACTTCATTGACGAAAATGAAAGACAGGAAATAGCAAATTCTTTTAAAGCTTTTCTGTTTCTTCACTGGTTGCCTTTGTAAAACCAAGTCATTCCAACCAAAGTTTCATGAAGCAAAAATAAAAAAATATATATATATATGCTAAATTTTAATATTTTTAACCTCAGAGACTTGATAGAACTTTAAAAAGAGGTTATAGTCTTGTCATCTTCAGTATTCATATTCTTTTTACCACCTGCTGAATAAAAAGTCCAATTTTTAAAATTTCAAAAAATAATGGATTCTATAAAGAAATTAAGAACAATATACCTTTAAAGGGATTGGAAAAATTAAATAAAGATGTGTGGCCTTTTAGCTGTTTCTTGGAACTGTGTTAATCCTTTAATTAGAGATATTTAATATGATATTGATTTATAAATCACAGAATTTAATTAGCAATAAGCAATAAGATTACACACATATACATGTCTATTTCTTATTCTTATTGCTAATTATATATATACATATATAAAATCTCCAGCATGTGATATACGCATGTGTGCAGTGGAATTGATCCCTGAGCAATGTAGTAGTTCTTTAGAGCATATGAATACTTACTGCCTTTGTATTTGGGCTTGACTTTGCCCTTTACCGGGTTTCTGTGGTATGCTTTATTTTCTATGAGTATAGTATGTGCCTGTTATTTTGTTTCTTTGCTATATGCTATAGTATTGCTTGATTTTAAAAAGACAGTACATTCTTTGAAATCCATGATGTTTCTTTGCTTTTCATTTTTCTGCCCCAACACAAACGCAGACTAGATACTCCATTTTAGGCCAAGGATGCTATAGATGGCCTATACATTATTTCCTTAACTCCAAGGGGAAAATGTGATTTGCAAAGTCATGAAAGGTGTGTCGACTTTTACATGCTTACTGTCTCCTTAAAAAAGAAATTCTGTCCTTTCACCTGTCTGTTTGCACGTGTTTCTCTTTCTCCTCTTTGCCTTTTCTTGTCCATGCACCTGGTGCTGTGCAGGAGATTCAGGAAGAACACAATGGCTACCCTTCTGAAGCTGAAGCTGATCAGGTGGCAAGTTCTACGTGTTCATCTGTTTGTAGCTACAGATCATGTATTTAGAAGCCATTTCATACTAGACTTCTAGATAATAAGCAAAACTTTTCAGATGCTTCTACCACAATAGTAGTGCCCTCCTGTCCAAATTTGGTAGATTCCATATGACATTATTTGCAAAATTGGTTTATCCAACATTTTGTGTCTTCTCGGTTTGCCCGGATAGGGTTATTGGTGTGGATAATAGCCATCCATCACAGTAGGATTCTGCAGTACCTTTACATAGACATAGAGGGGACAGATATATATGCCAAGGGTGCTCCTTGAGGGTGCACACTTTGCTTTCTTCAAATATGCATGATTTGTGCCCAACACAGTACCTGGTACCATGTAGATATCTGTGGAGTTGTTACATATATTAATCAGAATACAAAATTATTCGTAGAGTATTCTGGAGTGCTTACTCTGCTCAGTACCTCTAGACCCTCTCTGGAGTCTTTTAAAGCTGCAGTACCAATGCTTATGTGAAACCAAAAGAAGAGCAGCTCCGGGGAAGTGTGGCATGCCCCAGGTGCTCAGCTGCACCACTGTCCACCATCATCCAGCCCCACCGTCCTTTGGTGACCCCGGAAGCAACTTGAAGAGCCCAGTTTGAAAGCCACTGCTTTTGGCATGCAAACATTATATAAACTATCCACCTAGTGGCTTGGATTCAGGCTGAGGACAAAAGTAGTGGAGAGGCCAGGGTTGTTGGGTGGGCTGGAGCCCTCAGGGACAAATTCAGGGAGCTGGGAGACCTCAGCTGGACTTTCAGGGTCACTGGAACAAAGTTGGGAGGAGGTCATCAGGGGGAATTCTCCAGTTGGGCAACACTTTAAGTCACAGCACCAAGAGGAATGGGTGTGTTCATGAGATCAAATTTAGTTCACAAGAATATTCCATCCTTTGATTGTGCTGAACATGGGTTGGATAAATCAAGCGTCAAATCATGTCCTGTGCAACCTCGTAGTTGCAGTAAAAGCTTAATGTAGCACAAGTATGAGTCCCTTCTCCTAACAGCAGCTTCTTAAAGGGAATCCACTATACTCACCAAAGCAAACAAAAAGCCTCCAACTTTTAAAACTTCTCCTCTTGAGTTTCTATGCTAAAGCTAAATGTGTTTTCTTTTACAAAAGGGATCTCCTATGGGGAAATCTGAAGCAATTGGATCACTTCTTTGTTTTATTCCAACAGTTGTTCTTTTTTGTCATTTAAAAAGCATATGCCAGATTTATCATTAGTGAGAGGTTTGTCTTGCTATGTCTCACTGACATATAAATGCACAGATATTTCAAGCCAAACTTAACCATGAAGATGGGAAGAGAAGAGAAATCCTTGATTTTCAACTTCTATCTTGAGAGCATTTTGCATTCTTAAAATGGTCCTGATCACCTCTGTCTCCTATATGCAACATTATTAGTAGTCCTGGATTGAGGACTTTAAAATATTTGATGTGGCTTGCTCTAAATAAAGGGAGTCATATCTTTCCTAAGCTCTTCCACATTCAGTTGATTAAAGCAGCTTGCTTTAGTAATTATAATTTCAAAATAATCTGCTTCCATTTATTTTAACATGTAAGAAACTTAAGTCTGTATAGTATGTGATAATATTTAGCCATTAAAATAGGCTTTAACAATGTGACATTTGAAGTAATTTAAAACTCTGATATTGATTAAAGTAGCTTTCTCACTTTGTGAAATGCTGTACAATTAGTCACTAGTTCAGGCATAAAGCAGACTTTCAAATTAAGGCTTCTGAGATTGGAGATCTTTTAGTGTTTCTAAAACCAGACATTTATAAGTATACATGTTAGTTTATGCTTTATTGCATAAAATATATTTCCAAATCAGATGTGAGTATAAAAATGAATCCATTAAGGGGGGGGTACTCTACACCCCCCGCTTAATGTGTTAACTTCCAAAAATTTTTGGCTGAAAATGTCTTCAAAAACCAATCTGGATTAAAAATTGGAATTGAATTAACTGTTTAGAGGTAACAGTGATTCATGATCTATATTATTTTAACCATGCATCTTTTGATAAGGAGGAGGACGGACCATGTCATTCTGTGCTCCCCCAGTAGAACTGACATACCCCTGAGCAACATTCAACATTGAATTTGCTATTTATCGTTTGGCTTTTTTCCTTTTGTAAAATTTGATGAAACTATTAGGTGTAGTGTTTCTAAATTGACCTTTAAGTCCTTTAATAAAACATAGTGAAATATTGTTGTAACTATGAAAATAATTACTCTTTTGAATTTTCAGTAATTTAGATTAGAATTATAAAACACATCCATTTCAAAATATTTCGCTTTACAAAATGATGCTGAAAACAGTATTGTTGGACCTGTTTTCTGCTGAACGCTAGTGGCCTCTGAAGTTAACAGGTGGAAAAAGCAGTCCCCAGTCAACTAGGTATGAGAAATGCGTTATACTCTAGCGCCCTCTTGCTGATTCAGTGTACATTAACACACTAAAGACATCTCACTGAAAAAAGCAGCTGAACTTGTTTTGCTTAACCCAGCATTTCCCAAACTTTTTTTTTTTCCTTTAAGACCTATTCACATCTCTTGGAAAAGTAATGCCCTATGAAACATAGCTTTGGAATTGCTGGGGTTTTAATCATCTTATTCTTATTCATGACACGTTATGTTGGAGATGGCAACGAGCAAGTGACCGGTTTCCTTGGCAGCATCTCACAGGGTGGCAGTACCTTGGAATAGGCCCCGAGTTTAGGCTTTAGTCCCTAGCTTTGTGGTTCAAGAACACCATTTTCTTACCTCCCCTGAATTATCTGGCACTATCCAACCAAGCTTACAAGAGACTGGCTACTGGGCTACAATGCCAATCTGCTCATTTAAAAACATGGGCATGTGTTTTTCTGGCCATCCAAGGTTATCCTCTTCCTAGCATCATGTAGCCAAGAAACCTAGTAAATCATTATCAATTTTCTTGGTGAGTGTGATGTTATTGCCAAGTGGATTGTCTTGGGACATGCCTGATGAAAACACCTTGCTCCACAGTTGGGGTTGGAATACTCTTGCTTGCCAGAGGAGAGCACATTCCCTTGTGGCCTGGATTGGGTAAACACTGACAACTTCACTCTTCATGTCCCAGTCATACACTTTGCACATGCATGTTCGTGTGCATGAGCACATACACACACATAACTGGGCTGCAGTACCAAAGCCTAGGTCTTTCCTATTGTGTACTGTACCAAGACTATTCCCTGGTTATTTTCATGAGACTTCTGGCCTTCCCAAACTGTCTCACAGGCTGGGTCATTTCTACAGCTAGCTAAGCACCTATATCTCATGTTGATTTTATTTGTATTAGTTTCATGCTCAGAAGGTAACCTTTTTCTGACCTTATTTGCAATTTCTAGAGACACCTTTTAATAGCTATCTGTGTAGTGATTACAGTATCTTTCTGTCATGTCAAGTCATTTATGTATTAATGCTTCCTAACTGTGAAATTTAAATATGTTGTAACAATTTGCTAGAATATGTAGCATGATGTCTTGTGATGCTGAGCTTTGACATTGTCCTTTAAGGGGTTGGGTGCTTATATTTTGCACGCTTCTGTAGCCTTATGGTGACATCACAGAGCACCAAAATTCTTCACAGATACACAGAAAGTGAGATTTACTCCTGTTTTTTTTTTTCTTTTCTGCCAGGCTCTAAGGGATGGAAATAAGCTGGCACAGATGGAAGAGGCCCCACTTTTTCCAGGAGAATCAATTAAAGCCATTGGTAAGTCTTGTGTGTACACTTTGCTTGTTGAGAGCCATACAATGAAATGGCACTTAATTTGCGAGTGGAGGTGATGTGTGTGCTAGAAACCAGGCAGACCAACTTAATTAGGGGACAAATGGACTTGATCTATTCATCCTTACTAGTATCATCATGACCTAAGAGATAGAAAACTGCAGAGGATCCTGTTAAATTCCAGGTCGGTATTTGATGGCATTCCCAGAGGAGGGCCCTGACTTTCCCTGATGAACTGAAACACTCGATGGAATGTCAGTTCATTGCTTTGTTGGAATCCTTCAGTATAAAGAAAATTTATCAATAGGAGATCTATATCATGTTTTAATGTCAGTTTTGAGAACTCAGCAAAGAAATTTCAGTGGTCCCAAAAAGTACAATTATGGTGCATGGCATGGGCTTGCGTTGCCATCCTGGCTTTTAAAGGTGATGGCTTGAGGGCTCCCATATCCCTGCATGGTATCTTGCCAGGCCTTTCAGGAAGTAGTTGATTGTCCCATGGGTGGATGGGAGGGGCAACTGGGTGTGCGATCTTTTCATCTCATCACTTGGTTGGGTTGGACAGTCTGGTTTTCTTTTCTTTTATTTTTTTAATTGAGCCATCTGATTTTTTTTAATTTTTATTGCATTTTAGGTTTTGGGGTACATGTGCAGAACATGTAAGATAGTTGTATAGGTACACACATGGCAGTGTGATTTGCCGCCTTCCTCCCCTTCACCCACATCTGGCATTTCTCCCCATGCTATCCTTCCCCAACTCCCCCTCCCTGCTGTCCCTTCCCTATTCCCTCCAATAGACCCCAGGGTGTAGTGCTCCCCTCTCTGTGTCCACGTGTTCTCATTGTTCATCACCCGCCTGTGAGTGAGAACATGCGGTATTTCATTTTCTGTTCCTGTGTCAGTTTGCTGAAAATGATGTTCTCCAGGTTCATCCATGTCCCTACAAAGGACACGAACTCATCACTTTTGATTGCTTCATAATATTCCATGGTATACATGTGCCACATTTTCCCAGTCCAGTCTATCATTGATGGGCATTTGGGTTGGTTCCAGGTCTTTGCTATTGTAAACAGTGCTGCAATGAACATTCGTGTGCATGTGTCTTTATAGTAGAACGATTTACAGTCCTTTGGATATATACCCAGTAATGGGATTGCTGGGTCAAATGGAATCCTTCTATTTCTAGGTCCTTGAGGAATCGCCACACTGTCTTCCACAGTGGTTGAACTAATTTACACTTCCACCAGCAGTGTAAAACTGTTCCTATTTCTCCACATCCTCTCCAGCATCTGTTGTCTCCAGATTTTTTAACGATCCCCATTCTAACTGGCGTGAGATGGTATCTCAATGTAGTTTTGATTTGCATCTCTCTAATGACCAGTGATGATGAGCATTTCTTCATATGTTTGTTGGCCTCATGTATGTCTTCTTTTGTAAAGTGTCTGTTCATATGCTTTGCCCACTTTTGAATGGGCTTGTTTGTTTTTTTCTTGTAAATTCTGGATATCAGCCCTTTGTCAGATGGGTAAACTGCAAAAATGTTTTCCCGTTCTGTTGGTTACCGATTCACTCTAGTGACTGTTTCTTTTGCCGTGCAGAAGCTGTGGAGTTTCATTGGGTCCCATTTGTCTGTTTTGGCTTTTGTTGCCAATGCTTTTGGTGTTTTGGTCAGGAAGTCCTTGCCTACTCCTATGTCCTGAATGGTTTTGCCTAGATTTGCTTCTAGGGTTTTTATGGTGCCAGGTCTTATGGTTAAGTCTTTAATCCATCTGGAGTTAATTTTAGTGTAAGGTGTCAGAAAGGGGTCCAGTTTCTACTTTCTGCACATGGCTAGCCAGTTTTCCCAACATCATTTATTAAACAGGGAATCCTTTCCCCGTTGCTTGTTTTTGCCAGGTTTATCAAAGATTGTATGGTTGTAGATATGTTGTGTTGCCTCCGATGCCTCTGTTCTGTTCCATTGGTCTATATCTCTGTTTTGGTACCAGTACCATGCTGTTTTGATTACTGTAGCCTTGTAGTATAGTTTGAAGTCTGGTAGTGTGATGCCTCCCGCTGTGTTCTTTCTGCTTAGAATTGACTTGGCTATGCGGGCTCTCTTTTGGTTCCATATGAAGTTTAAGGTGTTTTTTTCCAGTTCTGTGAAGAAGGTCATTGGTAGCTTGATGGGGATAGCGTTGAGTCTGTAAATTACTTTGGGCAGTATGGCCATTTTCACGATATTGATTCTTCCTAACCATGAACATGGAATGTTTCTCCATCTGTTTGTGACCTCTCTTATTTCGTTGATCAATGGTTTGTAGTTCTCCTTGAAGAGGTCCTTTACATTCCTTGTAAATTGTATTCCTAGGTATTTTATTCTCTTTGTAGCAATTGTGAATGGCAGTTCACTCTTGATTTGGCTCTTTAAGTCTATTATTGGTGTATAGGAATGCTTGTGATTTTTGCACATTGATTTTGTATCCTGAGACTTTACTGAAGTTGCTTATCAGTTTCAGGAGATTTTGGGCTGAGACGATGGGGTCTTCTAGGTATACTATCATGTCGTCTGCAAATAGAGAAAATTTGGCTTCCTCCTTTCCTATTTGAATACCCTTTGTTTCTTTTTCTTGCCTGAACTTCCAGTACTATATGGAATAGGAGTGGTGAGAGAGGGCATCCTTGTCTAGTGCCAGATTTCAAAGGGAATGCTTCCAGTTTTTGCCCATTCAGTATGATATTGGCTGTTGGTTTGTCATAAATAGCTTTTATTATTTTGAGATACGTTCCATCAATACCGAGTTTATTGAGGGTTTTTAGCATAAAGGGCTGTTGAATTTTGTCAGAGTCCTTCTCTGCGTCAATTGAGATAATCTTGTGGTTTTTGTTTTTGGTTCTGTTTATGTGGTGAATTACGTTTATAGATTATGTTGAACCAGCCTTGCATCCCCGGGATGAATCCTACTTGATCATGGTGGATAAGCTTTTTGATGTGCCGTTGCAATCAGCATGCCAGTATTTTATTGAAGATTTTTGCATCTATGTTCATCATGGATATTGGCCTGAAGTTTTCTTTTCTTGTTGAGTCTCTGCCGGGTTTTGGTATCAGGATGATGTTGGTCTCATAAAATGATTTGGGAATTCCCTCTTTTTGGATTATTTGGAATAGTTTCAGAAGGAATGTTAACAGTTCCTCTTTGTGTGTCTGGTAGAATTCGGCCGTGAACCCATCTGGACCTGGGCTTTTTTTTGTGTGGTAGGCTCTTAATTGCTGCCTCAACTTCAGATCTTGTTATTGGTCTATTCATAGTTTTGGATTTCTCCTAGTTTAGGCTTGGGAGGACACAAGTGTCCAGAAATTTATCCATTTCTTTCAGGTTTACTAGTTTATGTGCATAGAGTTGTTTGTAATATTCTCTGATGATGGTTTGAATTTCTGTGGAATCTGTGGTGATTTCCCCTTTATCATTTTTTATTGCATCTATTTGGTTATTCTCTCTTTTCTTTTTTATTAATCTGGCTAGTGGTCTATTTTTTTGATCTTTTCAAAAAACCAGCTCTCGGATTTATTGATTTTTTGGAGGGTTTTTCGTGTCTTGTCTCCTTCAGTTCAGCTCTGATCTTAGTCATTTCTTATTTTCTGCTGGGTTTTGAGTTTTTTTGATCTTGCTCCTCTACCTCTTTCAATTTTGATGATAGGGTGTCAATTTTGGATCTCTCCACTCTTCTCATGTGGGCACTTGTTGCTATATATTTTCCTCTAGAGACTGGACAGAATCTCTGTCCCAGAGATTCTGGTATGTTGTTTCTTCATTCTCGTTGGTTTCGAAGAACTTCTTTATTTTTGCCTTCGTTTCATTGTTAATCCAGTCAACATTCAAGAGCCAGTTGTTCAGTTTCCATGAAGCTGTGCGGTTCTGAGTTAGTTTCTGAATTCTGAGTTCTAACTTGATTGCACTGTGGTCTGAGAGACTGTTTGTTGTGATTTCCATTCTTTTGCATTTGCTGAGGAGTGATTTACTTCCAATTTTGTGGTCAATTTTAGAGTAGGTGTGATGTGGTGCTGAGAAGAATGTATATTCTGTGGATTTGGGGTGGAGAGTTCTGTAAATGTCTATCAGGTTTGCTTGGTCCAGGTCTGAGTTCAAGTCCTGGATATCCTTGTTAATTTTCTGTCTGGTTGATCTGTCTAATATTGACAGTGGAGTGTTAAAGTCTCCCACTATTTTTGTGTGGGAGTCTAAGTCTCTTTGTAAGGCATTAAGAACTTGCCTTATATATCTGGGTGCTCCTGTATTGGGTGTGTATATATTTAGGATCGTTAGCTCTTCTTGTTGTATTGATCCTTTTACCATTATGTAATGTCCTTTTTTGTCTCTTTTGATCTTTGTTGCTTTAAAGTCTATTTTATCAGAGATGAGAATTGTAACTCCTGCTTTTTTTTTCTCTCCATTTGCTTGGTAAATATTCCTCCATCCCTTTATTTACACAAAGGATCCCTTTGTGTATCCTTGCATGTTAGATGGGTTTCCTGGATACAGCACACCAATGGGTTTTGGCTTTTTATCCAATTTGCCAGTCTGTGTCTTTTGATTGGTGCATTTAGCCCATTTACATTTAGGGTTAATATTGTTATGTGTGAATTTGATACTGCCATTTTGATGCTAGCTGGCTGTTTTGCTCATTAGTTGATACAGATTCATTTTGTTGATGCTCTTTAGCATTTGGTATGTTTTTGGAGTGGCTGGTACTGGTTGTTTCTTTCTTTGTGTAGTGCCTCTTTCAGGAGCTCTTGTAAAACAGGCCTGGTGGTGACAAAATCTCTAAGTACTTGCTTGTTTGCAAAGGATTTTATTTTTCCTTCACTTATGAAGCTTAGTTTGGCTGGATCTGAAAATCTGGGTTGAAAGTTCTTTTCTTTAAGGATGTTGAATATTGGCCCCCACTCTCTTATGGCTTGTAGGGTTTCTGCCGAGAGATCTGCTGTGAGTCTGATGGGCTTCCCT